CGGGGCGGCGGGGTGCCGGCCCCCCGGGGATGCGCGGGAGGGGGGTCGGTCCCCTGGACGGCGCGGTGACGGGGAGGGCTGGGGACGGCTCCGGGTCCTGGCGCCGGTGGGTGTCCCCGTGGGTGTCCCGCCGGCTTTCTGCCGGGTCCCGGGAGGGGTTGTAGCGTGTCCGCAAAGGCGCTCGGTGCGGGAGGGGCTCGGCTTCCCTTGTGTGTCCCCCCACCCCACCCCTGCCAGCTCCTGGCCCTGCAGTGGTCAGCCCGGCTGCGATCCCCAGCCTCTGCCACCCGTGACAAAGGGACGTGGCTCCGGGCGGATGAGCTCCAGGCACAGGCAGGCTCCTGCCTGGCTTTCTGTAGCAGGGGAAGAGCAGCGTGGGCACATCACCAGAGAAAGGGACTGAAAGCCACTGCGGGAGCGGATTTGAGAAGCTGGAAACCAGCTGGACCGCGCTGATCCTCTTTCCGATCTTTGCAGTCTCTTCCGTGGCAGAGGCTCGCCCAAGTCACTCCTGTTCTAAACCGATTCTCCCGAACATCCCCACGAGCTGGGAGGAGGAGGAGGAGATGTGTGGCCATAAAATGCAGGCTCAGCTCTCCCCACCACCCAAAAGTGCCCACGGAGTTTTATCCTGGCCCTTTAGTTTCTCTGAAATTTGCGTTTGGATCACTTGGTGCTGCTCCTGTGAAGCCGCACAGCCAGACTCAAGGACGGGACAAGACTTAGTGTTGTTTCTTGGCTGCGGGACCAGTCCCCTGGGGGTGCAGGCAGCTGCTGCCAACTTCAGAGCAGTCCCAGGGCTACACTTAACATCACACAGGAGAGCTCAGGGCCTACCCTGCCAGATAGTTTGGGCCAGCACAGGGAAACCCCTTCTCTCCGTGGTCTCCCAAATCCATGCACAGAGGATGGCTTGGCCAGGCTGGATCCAGAGTCCGTCTGCTGAGCCAGGTTTATGTAAGCGCTGATTTGCAGTGTCAAGAGATGCCTAAGAATCAGCTTGCATTTAGAAAAATGTATAAATAGATGTCATCTGGCCCGAGGCTGTACCAGAAGCACAGTATTTGTCTTGGTCCCAGACCCTTGGAGAGCTTCTGCCATCTCTCACCTGCTCTCAGCTTGGCCTCGAGTCCCTGTCTAGTACTTTCTAGGAGCAGGGACGGAGCAGGAGTGCCAAAAGGCACTGTCACTCTGTCCTTTAGAGTGGTACTTAATGTTGCTTCTTTGGCAGACCTGTGGGTTCTCCTTGCACAGGACCATAAACTCCCCCCCAGCTCACGGGCTCGGCAGGAGATGCCATGCCGTAGTGCGGCCCTCCCTTGGCATGCCTGGCAGCTCCTCCCGACCAGCAGGATGCTGGGCCGGGCAGTTGCCGGTCAGACCCAGGGTGTGACAGGACTGGCTTTCCTGTTGTTAATATCAGTACAGTGTCAATGTGCCTTGCCTCGGCAAAGGTGCTGAGCACCAGCCCCCAGAGCTGGCTGTCAGAAGGGCTGCAGGCGGAGACGGGGTGTTCAGACCACAGGTAATGCTCTTCCATCCTTGTGCCACGTAAGGGAAGGCAGCGTTAAAAAATGATGCTTATTCTAAGAGCCAGTGGTTGGGGAAGAGAGCTGACTTCCAGACTGCTGGCTTGCTGACTCAAAGCAAGCACGGTCTGGCTTGGGATCGGTGGGACAATGGGCTGCATTTGCTGGCAGGCTTAACATTGGCACGTTGATGCTTTTTGTTGCAGGTGGGAAGGCAGCAGTAGCTCACTATGGCCCTGGCAGACAACGCGGGCTGTGCCAAATCCAGTGAGGACTTCCCCTTCCCTGAGATCATTGAACTCAATGTGGGTGGACAAGTCTACATCACCCGCCACCCCACCCTGGTCAGCGTGCCTGGCTCGCTCCTCTGGGAGATGTTCACCCAGAAGAACGTCCGCTCCTTGGCCCGTGACAGCAAGGGACGGTTTTTCGTGGATCGGGACGGCTTCCTCTTCCGCTATATCTTGGATTACATGAGGGACCAGCAGCTGGTGCTGCCCGACCACTTCCCAGAGAGGAGCCGCCTGCAGCGAGAGGCAGAGTACTTCATGTTGCCAGAGCTTGTGAAGATGCTGGCCCCCAAGCTCAGCAAGCAGAACTCGCTGGGAGATGACCCATGCCAAAGCGACCCAGAGGAGCTCTCCCCCAATGCAGATGCCACCCGCAACCTGACCTCTGCCAGTGCCACGCTCCCCAGCGCCGTGGGTGGTGGCCCTGGGGGTGCCATCACCACCAGCACCGGTGCTGCCAGCACTGACGTCCGCAGGGCAGGTTTCATCACCATTGGCTACCGGGGCTCCTACACCCTGGGCAGGGACAGCCAGACGGATGCCAAGTTCCGCAGGGTGGCACGGATCATGGTCTGCGGCAAGACATCGCTGGCCAAGGAGGTCTTTGGTGATACCTTGAATGAGAGCAGGGACCCGGACAGGCCCCCGGAGAGGTACACCTCCAGGTACTACCTCAAATTCACCTTCCTGGAGCAAGCCTTTGATAAACTGGCCGATGCTGGCTTCCACATGGTGGCTTGCAACTCCACAGGCACCTGTGCCTTCGCCCATGACCAGACAGATGACAGGATCTGGACCTCTTACACCGAATATGTTTTCTATCGTGAGTGACACCAAAAAAAACACCCCCAAAAACCAAACACCAAACACTAACTCTCCCTTTCCTCTCCTGTGCTGGCTGTTTCGTAGAAGGTAGACATCCGAGCCCTGAATCCCAGCATCCCCCTTTTGCCTCCTTTTGAGTTTGTTCTTGGGTTTTTTTCCTCCTCCTTCCTCCACATTGAACCTGTTCAGCTCTTCCTTGTAGCAGCTGCTGACCACCAACCTTCTTCCCTCTCTCCGACTTCTGCAGTAGCCACCTGTAGCTCCCAACCCTCCCTGGATGTGTGGACTTGGACACTGTCATGTACATGGGTTGGGGGGAGGGGAAATACAGTGGACTGTGCTCTGGGCTGGGATTCCTGCAGCTGGATGAGCTTGTCCGTGTTGGACACTGAACTTGGTTCTCATGCCCTGTACGCCGTGCAGCTCCCCGGGAGCATGCTGCATACACTGTATTTGATCTGCCAAGGGCTTCAAGTGAGAAGGTGCTGGTTTAAGGACATGGAGAAAGGAGGGAAGCAGAGAGGAGGGTGGGCCGGG